CATGTGATTTGCTTTATTACTTTTTTTTTTTATGCAGCGTGCCAAGAATTTTTGGATCACCCCTGTAAAAACAAAAAAGGTTTATCCTTTGGGGTTTTTTTTCTAATAAGATTATTTAAAAAAAATAAACTTCTAATTGAGCTAATTGAATCCATGATCAGAAAATTTTTGGAATATGCCCCAAATAAAAATTTCTTTATACATGTAAAAATAATGGGTAAAATGATTTGGGGAAAAAAATGAAAAAAGGTTTTCCAATTTGACCACGGGGTTAAAATTTGAGAAAATTTGGGAAAGTATCTATTAATGAAATGCTCCTCACCAAAAAATCTTATTTGGGAACAGAAATTTTTTAAATTTTTTCCTAGTATAGAGACCCTTGTGGAAACGGCAGATGGACATATGGAGAAACCATTGATCATAAAAGCTTACATTTGGGAGCTAAACAGCTAGAAAAACTTCTTAAAAGTAATAATAAAACAAAACAAAAGAGAAAAAAAATATGCAGTAATGTAAGTCATGTAAAAAGCTTTTTTGGTCCCTCCTTTTTTGGGAAAAACAATTTTCAAAAAAATAAAAAATCATTTTTTAATGCCCCTGGGGATACTCATCACAATACTGTATTCTAAAAAACACCAGAATGTTTTTAAGCAAAAGGCAAATAAAACACATTAATAAAAATTTCAATCAATCAAATAAATGATATTTAAACAAGATTTAAAAAAAGACTCGATTAAAGCACCGGGCAATTTTTTTTTCAAGTAAAGTACAAAATAACTACTAATGAAAAATGTGAGGATAATAGAAGAAGTCACTAATGATTTTTTTTTCCTGCATAAGTATCCTGATTGGGCACAGCAATTTAACAAATTCGCTTGAAAAAATTAACCTAGACAGATAAAAAAACACAAATTTTTGAAAAAGGGGCCCCATATTCCAAAAAATCAAAAAAACTAACATGTAACTTTAAAAAAAAAATGGACCTTGCAAAAAAAACCAGCATTGATTGGGGACAGACTTACAGAATTTTTAAAGTTTTTAAATTAAAAATCATTTTTTTAGAGAAAAAACAAGAAAACGTTTTTTTAAACATAAATCCCCTTCAGAAAATTCTTTTTCTTTATGAAATTTTAAAAAAAAAAATTTTACCCTTCATCTTTTGGACAGAAAAAAATTCCCAAAAAATTTAAAAAAATTATATAAAACCCTTGAAAAACTTTTGAATTTTAAAAAATAATTCCAATAATTTTTGTTTTTGAGAAAAATATTTAATAGATTTCTTCCTTACCAAATATGAAAAACATCTATATTTAAATAAAGTTAATGGGAAGTTAAAAAAACATTTTAGCAAAATGGGGACCTTTAAAATGGACCCCTAACCCCTATCCCAAAAAGAATAAACCTTAAAGTTACAACCACCAAATATGAAATACATCTGTATAAATAAAGGGTGTAAGGGGAAAAGTTAAAAACTTTTTACACTGGTAAATCCCCTGCCCCCAAAATTTTTGTCTTTGTATTGTTTAAAATAAGTTGAAAACTTAAACCCCATTGGTACAGGTGGGAACTTATGAAGAAAAATTCCAACTTGCCGTTCTAGGTTAACCTCGTACGGACAGACAGACGGTTCAATTACTATATGCCCGGGGGCATAATAATAATGTAATTATACCATGATTAATTTTTAAATCTAACATAAAATACATATCAGCTAAAATGACATGAATTCTGTTGACCGAATACACTTCAAACTTGCATTCACTTTAGTTATGCTTTGAAATGGAATACAATGACATATAATATCATACAAAATATAAAATAAAGAAAATGTCAATATAACAAACTCTGCAACAAACTTTTGATGTTCAATAAATAATTCACTTAATATGTTAGTTTTATGTTTAGATAATGCAATATTTATATGCATTGTTCTTCAAACCAGTTTATGTCTATGCAAATATTACATACTGAAATACATTATTTGTGAATAAATATTGATTGTTTATTAATTGTATTAACATAATTTGGGTGAAGGTTTCAAGCCTAATGGCAAACATGTTTATTTGTAAATCAATATGGTGGAACTCTAGCCTTAATGATGTTAGAAGCACTTGAAGTGCCTCTCTCGAAACAATTTCACCCACCTACACATATCTGGAATAGGAGACCCCATCAAGAGTTACGAAAAACGAAACCAAATAATGGAAAGTATGCTATGAAACAACTGATCTATCTAATAATGTATAGCTATATTTAACAGCAAAAAGGTTCAAAACCATGAAAAAAAAATCATAGCACATTATCACTGTAAATCATTTGGTAAACAGAGCCAATCTGTTATTCTTCTTTTCAATATGCCATTTATGTACACTTTACAGATAATCTTTTCATTCAATGAATTTTCAGTTCAGTAGATATAATAAATACAGTAATAAGTTTTGCCACACAATAACCTTTAAAACAAAGGTATTACTGTTCAAAAAGCGTTTTATACAGCACATTTTATCATAAATTTAGATTATATTATTTTAGTCAATAAAGATTTTTTTTTGTGTGATAAAAATTTCTTCCAAGGACTATAAGCATATAAAGTAGCCCTTATAGAACTTGCCATTAACTAAATAATACTAACTTTATTAAAATGTTTATATCTGTTTTTACCGATATTTTAGTAACAATGTATTTTTACACAGTAGGTGAGCAGTCTGTGGCTTGGAAGATCACAGAAGTTTAACTGACTCAACACACATGCACTTAGATTGAGAATCAAACCATAGATCACTCGTACCTTAATGCCCAGCTTAAATGAACACAAGTAAATGAAAAGGTGACCCTTTACCAAGAAAGTTCACATTATAAAGAGAAAGTATTTCATTTTGACTGAATTATACTATACCATCATTCATGTTAAAAATAAGATGTGGTTGAAAACCTTTGAAACGCATGTCCTTATAACTGCAGACAAAAGCAATAATAAGTAAATATTTACCAGTCAATAAGTCATCTGCAGCATTTTATCACCATGCATGTAAAACACCAAATAAACTACATGCATTATTTATATCCTTTTTCATGACAATGCAATTCAATATATATAGAATTTGAGAGCCACATGTGATGCATAAACAAAACATACACAATTTGCAAGGCGATTTTAAGACTAGAAAGACTTTTTGAACAATGTTAATGTAGGAATTATGGAATGGATGAACAAATTAAATACCTAACATTCTACTTATAATTCTATATATAAAGTATATCAATTCAAAAGTTACTTTCTTATAACATTTTAGAAAGAAATTACACAAGTGCAGTCAGTGAAACAACACACTAGGTTTTATTCTCTGTGTTTAATAGTGAAACAAAGAGCATCAATAATTTAAATTTTTAGAAAGGAATAAACAAAAAGGAAGATTTCATTTAAATACATGAAAAAAATGCGAGTCGTCAAGTTTACAAAGGGCCATAAATCAGTCAAAATCCGTGCAAAATCTATGCTAGTCATGGGCCTTGGATAGTGATCGTCAAATATAATCGTGAAGACATGTTGCAAGTTTATGCCTTCAAAAGTTTTGAAAATTAATCTTAAACGACATATATAATTCAGACAATTCATTATCATCCCTTAATTTCAAATCCTAGATGTTTTAAACTAGAGGTCATAGAATAATAATGGTCATAATCATGGCAACATTTAAATGGAATAAAGATGAATCTACCTAATGATATTAACTAGTGATGAGAAATGATTAAGCACAAATAAGTACAAAAATGAACTTGAGACTTTATGAAATTCATCTTTATAAGAGGTCTTTTATCATTTTTGTGTCTACATATCTCAAGATGCCTGTATAAATATGGTGTAAATAATTTTTTCTTAAAATTTCTAAAACACAGTTTCTGGAATGTTGATAACAGAATACTTCTATGTAAAAATATAAAATGTGACCACATAAAAATTAGAAATTTAAATGTACATGTATATAGTAGCTAGCTATTAGACTCTGAATTGTCATACTTATATATAACAAATAATTATCATTTCAACTGTTACTCAAATTTAAAACATGTCAAAAGACTATTTTTATGGAACTTTACAAGTATAAAGTTTAACCTTTCAAAAAAAAATCAAAAATTATATTCCAGAAACATGATAGCTACAAAACAGTCAAAACATTTCAACGTTGCCTACAGCCAGATTTCATAATGAAAATGTAGGACTATCTTTATATATCTAAATTCTTTGAAGACAAAGATAACAGTTAAAGCTCAACAAAAAACACCAAGGGAGTTAATATCTCCCTAAATAAACTGTCATGTTGAATACATTCAAATCAATTTTATCATACATCCTTAACAATCAAACATTAAAGTCTTTCAGACTAGAGTAACAAAATTATTTTACAACACCTTGAGGTTGTCTGAAGTATTAAAAATCATTCTTATATTCTTCAACTACATACAAGACCAAATTCAAAGTATATGACTGTTGCTTTCAGTTTCATGTTTTAATTATTTTTTTTTTCAAATCTTTGTAATGGGTACGAGATTATGACTTTCTTTAAGAAATTATCATTCTTCAAGATTTAATATGTTAAGATTTTAAGGATTTTTTCAAGTCATCAATACAACAATATAATTTATGTAGCCAAACATCATATAGCCACTGAGGATGTATTTTATACAATCAACACAAATATTACAGAATTGACAGATGAATGCAAAACATCAATGTCCCATTACCACTGACATCCCTGATAAAAAAAAACATAACATAAGAAAAAAAATATAATCAATTTATTAAGCAATGAAATCATTCTACCTTCTCGGGTTTTATCGGTGAACACATTTTCCCTCAATAGGACTGCATTCTTTCTTGTTCTGAACACTCTTGTATACCGACTGTCTCCGGAAGTGACCTCGTGGATCCAGTCCTCTTTCCTACCCTCCAAAATTCATAAAAATACCTCTATGAATCTTTGAAAAAAATGGAAGGGGTATGAAACTGTTTTTGACTATCACCTGCTGGGCCTGATTCTCCCACGGAATTCTGGGAACTTTTTAAATGATCACATGACATGTTTAAAAGACTCTCATTGGATGATTGTAAATCTCCCAATTGCATTTTGGGTAATATTTGTTTCCTTTCCTGTCACATCATGCTTCTCATAAGAATATTTTATATTTTCACAGGAAACGGACTTTTCAGCAAGGTCAGGTGACTTTGATTCAACATATGATGCAGATTTATTATTATTTGGAACGCTTCGTACATCATCATCACTCTCATTATAATCTAGTTTTGCTCCTTTTAAAGAAAATCCACCAGTTTGCTCTATGGCTGTATCAGATTGCACTTGCGTAAGTTCTGTATAAGAATCTGCCGAAAATATTTGACTAAAATTTCTAGATATTTTTTCATCATAAGATGCTGTTCTTTCATGTGTTTTTTGGTTTGACAACGTTGGAGCATGGTCTTCAACTGATGCTGGTCTCTGATTGGTTGATTCTGTTTTCTGTTCTTGATCCTCATTGGGTGAAGAAGCTGAGTGATTCTCTTTATCATAATTTTCTATCACCATGTAAGAATGTCCCAGTAAAACAATACTGTTGAACACTTTGAAAGACATCAAGCTGAAAAGAAACATACATTTCATTACTTAGTCTGTTTCCAGTATAATACCTCTTTCAAAATTTCAGTAATATAGATTTTAAAAAATGATATAATCTGCATTCTTAAACTGTAATGTACCACCAATACTCTGCAAGTTATTACTACTAAGTAATTATCGGCCAAAATAATACTTAACAAGATATGTTTGTAAAACATGTATGCCCCCTATCAGCAGCCAATTAGTCATGTGACAAGGTTATTATGCATGACTTCTGACCCAGTGATCAAACAATTAATAAGGGTTATCAAGTATCTACTGGTCATGACCTTGACCTTTGACCCCTTGACCCAAAACTCAATAGGGGTCATCTGCTGGTCACGATCAATCATCATACAAAGTTTGAAGTTCCTAGGCCTAAGCGTTTTAGTTAATTGATCAGAAACTGTTTTTACCTACAAGGTCAATGTGACCTTGACCTTTGACCCCAAAATCAATAGGGGTCATCTGCTGGTCATGACCAATCACCATGCCAAGTTTGAAGTTCCTAGGCCTAAGGGTTCTTTTATTATTGATCGGAAACCGTTTTAACATACAAGGTCAATTTGACCATGACCTTTGACCCCAAAATCAATAGGGGTCATCTGCTGGTCATGACCAATCATCATGCCAAGTTTGAAGTTCCTAGGCCGAAGCGTTCTTTAGTTATTGATCAGAAACCGTTTTTACTTACAAGGTCAATGTGACCTTGACCTTTGACCCCTTGATCCCAAAATCAATAGGGGTAATCTGCTGGTCATGACAAATCACCATACCAAGTTTGAAGTTCCTAGGCCTAAGCATTCTTAAGTAATTGATCAGAAACCGTTTTTACTTACAAGGTCAATGTGACCTTTGACCCCTTGACCCAAAACTCAATAGGGGTCATCTGCTGGTCACGACCAATCATCATACAAAGTTTGAAGTTCTTAGGCCTAAGCGTTTTTAGTTAATTGATCGGAAACCGTTTTTACCTACAAGGTCAATGTGACCTTGACCTTTGACCCCTTAACCCCAAATCAATAGGTCATCTGCTGGTCATGACCAATCACCATACCAAGTTTGAAGTTCCTAGGCCTAAGGGTCTTAAGTTATTGATCGGGAAAAGCATTTTTTACCTACAAGGTCAATGTGACCTTGCCCTTTGACCCCTTAACCCCAAAATCAATAGGGGTCATCTGCTGGTCATGATCAATCACCATACCAAGTTTGAAGTTCCTAGGCCTAAGGGTTTCTTTAGTCATTGATCGGAAACCGTTTTTACCTACGAGGTCAATGTGACCTTGACCTTTGACCTCTTGACCCAAAATCAATAGGGGTCATCTACTGATCATGACCAATCACCATATCAAGTTTGAAGTCCTTAGGCCTAAGGGTTCTTTCGTTATTGATCGGGAAACCATTTTTACCTACAAGGTCAATGTGACCTTGACCTTTGACCCCTTAACCCCAAAATCAATAGGGGTCATCTGCTGGTCATAACCAATCACCATACCAAGTTTGAAGTTCCTAGGCCTAAGGGTTCTTTTTGTTATTGATTGGAAACTGTTTTTAACCCAAAGAGGTCAATGTGACCTTGACCTTTGACCCCTTGACCCCAAAATCATTAGGGGTCATCTACTGATCATTGACCAATCACCATACCAAGTTTGAAGTTCCTAGGCCTTAAGTTTCTTTAGTTATTGATCGGAAACCGTTTTTGCTTACAAGGTAAATGTGACCTTGACCTTTGACCCCTTGACCCCAAAATCAATAGGGGTCATCTACTGGTCATGACTAATCACCATACCAAGTTTGAAGTTCCTAGGCCTAAGGGTTCTTTAGTTATCACTCGGAAACCATTTGGTCTACGGACCGACAGACCGACGGACCGACAAGTGCATAACAAAACTTTCAGGTGTGACCTGCTATGCATTAGTTTGAAGTAGATATATTTTTATATCATTGTTTAGGAATGATAGAAAGACAGATTCATTTTATGTGAATTTTTTTCTGAAATTTCTGCTACCAAAATCATTTTACAATATCCACTGAACTCAATTTTGGTGCAGCCTCTCATTTGAAGACAGTTGAATATGGACAAGTTTTAATGGCAAGACAGTTATTTAAAATCATTTTACATACATGTATGTCCTTCCATTTTCATTATAGAGACAGATTTATTTCAACATAAAATGTATACCTACATGGAAATGACATTATATTAAAACATACATTTATATTTTCTATCTAGTCAATTGGAAAGCAATTCAAATGATATAATCAACATACCATAGATAGAGAAGAAACAATATAGTGAAGTCCATGTATGTAGATAGAGGTACAGATTTACTCAGTATTCTGTATAATAGACAAGCTAGTGGTAGTGGTGTCAGACCCATACGTCTAGATACCAGGTCTGAGTGATCAGTAAATGCCTGTAGTATACAATATACAATAACAATAGAAACTTTATAATTATAAAATGTAGAATATTTGTTAATATCTTGATAAAAATTGAAACCAAATTACCTTAACTGAAATAAGGAATTTGGAAAATTCTGACAAAATTGTTAGCTAACCATGCCCACTAAATTACTAGATGAATTTTTGTTAAGGAATGTTTTAATCCCATTTTCATACATAATCTGTGTGCTTTAAATCAATTAAAACTGGTAGAATCTTTCCCCAGATATGACAATAAGAATATGAAAACAAGGTAACTTGAATTTTTTGAAATCTTTGAATTTTGCCAGTTATAGCTGATATACAACAGTTACTGTGTTACACACATAAAAGAGTAAAACTTCTTAATTTTGCATTTCTATACAACAAATGCATGTTACAGAAAGGAATTAACATATTTTTAAGTAGAGTGGGGACATAGTGGTTAAGGTGTCTGCCTCACACCCTTGGGATCGCAGGTTCAAGCTCTACTAGTGTCAAGACCATGTTTCCTAATAGTATTGGTAAGTTCCAGGAAGAGGACAATTTGGGTGATTTTTTTAAAGTAATTTATAATCAAGTTTAGACTAATAGGGTTTAAACTAACATATTACTATTCAAAATGCTGACATGAGATATGACCTGAAAACATTGCATTCTCAGCAAATACAAATCTAAACTTCCTGAAATCAAATATCATTGTTACCTGACTTTGTCTGCTAGTTGCCATATCCAAGGCTAACTTTACTTTAAATTCTCTATAGACCTGTAATAAATTTGTAAAAGATTTTATCTCCATTTTATTTCCATTCTCAAGTATTGTTCATAAAAGCATACCACATCTTATTTATATTCAAATTAAGTTGAATAAGATTTCATAAACAACTTAGCATATACTACTCAAGATAACTAGATTTACATCATATTTCCATATGGCTGGTGTTTCCATTTGTCAAAGTTAACCTATTTTAGTCAACAATATTTTCAGCCTAAATAATTAACATGTAAATGTGTAAGTGTTTTAGTAAAATAGAACAACATTTATTGCACTCAGCCCTGCAAAAAAGTCCCTCTAGTTAAACTCTGTGTGTGTCTAAAACAGTCTACTAAATGTTAGACCTCAAGTACATTAATGTTCCCTTAACATGTAAAACTTTGTTATAAGAGTGAACTGTGTTGCAAAGTATTAATATAAATCTTAAGAACATACAGAAAGTTTTAATATGTTTGTTTGTTTGTTTGATTGGGTTTTATGTCACACCAATACAGAATAGGTCATATGGTGAGCTTTACTGGTGGAAGAAGACCTTTGGTGCCCCTCCATGCATTATTTCAGGCACGAAAGGTTTCTATATGTTAAATGGACTTATATAACATACTGTGATATTATCCAACAAATTAAAGAACTGTATGTTGTATTTTCAACATTAGAATTATATAAATATATCTTACATCTGCAGGTATCTCATTAAACTTGAGAATAAAAGCATGTTTCCCCCAGTCCACTAAAACCTCAGATAAAAGAACCATTAGAGCATCTGGCAACAAAACCCATAAATGATCTGAAATATACATATACAATCACTAAAATATAAACCAAGAATAAAACATCATTGACAAGCACAAAATAACATTACTCTTCTCAAAAGTAATTTGTGTTTTATCACAATATATGTCTTGTTTTCCACGTATTAAATTCATTATGTATTTATTTATATCAGACACATGTAATATAACAAAATCATGATGCCATTGTTTAACAAAACACTTGTTAAATGTCAAATCTAAGTTCACTTTCATAAATTTCAATGCGTTTCATCACTTGATAAAACAGAAGCTCACTTTTTAACTATTTCTTCAACTTGTTCAATAAAATTTAAATGTGTATTTCATGCAAACAGCACCTCTGTTTTTTAATCAGCCAAAATGTTATACTGTTCATTTAAGTATAATAATTATGTTACTTATAATAAATAATGTTAATAATGTTAAAATATATATCAGTTTATTAATCCTATGGTAAGATTCACAAACTTAATTACATGTAACTCTGCTTAATTCAGCATATAAATACTGGCCACATGGCTTCAATTTTTTTAAAATATTTACAGCATAAAATTCTTTTTAATTCTTTGGCTAATTCAATACGACAGGGTGTACATACAACAACAAATTCTAAACATTTTAGTTTAAACATACTTCTTTCCTCTTGTGATGATAGCTTTATACATATTTGAAATACACAAATGTACATGTATTCTAAAGTAAATTTATATTTTCACATAATAATAATAATAATAAATACCACATTTATATAGCGCCCTTTTCATTAAAATGTTCAAAGGCGCTTTACATCAATCATATATGTCTAAAACAATATAAATGAACAGGATTATGAACATTAAAAATATTTTGCATTAACTAATTAAAAGTATAAATTATGGAATTATTTTTACATATTAATACAATATAACTTAAAGATCCTTAAAACTCACTTTACAATATTATTGTCATACATTAAAATTGTCTTCAATATATAATAATAGATAAGATCTTGCTAAATCATCATTATAAAACAATAGAAATACTAAATTGATTTAAAAATTGTTTGTTTAAAAAAAAAATAAAAAAATATATAAAATATAAAAAAAATAAAACTTTTTAATAAAACTAATATTCAAATAACAGATACTTCGTAATTCACTGTTTATAAAATTCATTCATAAACAGTCACTGATTATTTTCCATAAGCTAAATTGAAGTAGTGTGTTTTAAGATGTTTTTTGAAACTTTCTACTGTGTTACAGTTTTTTAGATGACTTGGTAGTGAATTCCATAGCTTAGGAGCTGATGCCGAAAAACTCCTTTCACCAAATTTCAGTTTAGTTTTTGGTTGCACTAATCGTACAGGTGCATTTGAAGAGCGCAGATTTCGGGAAGTGGAATAAACTTGAATCATTTCCTGCATATATGATGGAGATTGTTGTTTCAGTGACTTGAAAGTATGTAATAAGATCTTGTAATTCACTCTATATTCGATTGGCAGCCAATGAAGATCTTTCATCACTGGTATAATATGATCTTTCCTAGATGTACGTTTAATCACACGGGCTGAAGTATTTTGAACAAGTTGAAGTTTTTTCATGGTTTCATGTGTAAGCTACTTTTTACACTAAGTCAGCTTTATAATTTTAAGACAGATATCTAGAACAAAAGTTATATACCTATATCCCAGGCAACTTCATTCATGTTTCGTACACAGACAACAGCCAGCAATATAACATAGTGAAATCTTTCCTTCACATCACTACATGCTATCTGATATAGATGACTCACATCTACCTTCTTAAACAGGTTACTCTTTATCTCTACAAACTGTAATTGTTAAGTAACACAATGTACATATTTGTGATAACTCTGGTAATTTGTTTAATTTCATAAAACTACTGCTGTTAAATCTTTTGAGATAAAAGAACAATAAAGTAAAGGCAATGAAACTAGTAAAAACAATATGTTCAGCTCAACAAGGTTTTGTACTGGTGACATAACAGGTAAATTTCTTTATTTTAGCCTTAAAATCATAGCATAAAGTTTAAATACTCTGATAATCAATGTCATTGGATTAAAGGTCAGAATGTTGTTTCAAATTAATATTTTCACCTGACATGGGTTTCATTATTGACTGACAACCTGGTAAATTCTTATGCCACCTGGCTTCTTTCATTAGTTTGTAAAACAACCTTTTACTGACTGGTACTTGTAATTATACAAGATAACTACAACTCTTTGTCTGCTGGCTGAGTGACGGCACTTGAATTTACCCAAGCCATCACATCCTTACCATGTGATCATGGTCAGTGCTGTTTGCTATTTAGTCTGTATGTATTTTCAGATTTTCAATAATGAATGTTTTGCGAGATAGAAAGATGGACAAGTCAACTTAAGATATTCATCTTGTTTATAGTTAAGAAATGACACAGCTTCATTCAAACAAAATAAAAGACCCTGTCACTATGATATGTTCAGTGGTAATGGTTTCACTGTTATAATAACTTATTTCTACATCAATGTATAGAGAATCATACTTACATTATTGGACATCATGATCACCAGTAGAGATTTATTATGAGAATTAAATGCCACGTTTAAAACTGTTGCTTGAAACATTATCAACATACAATGTATAACTGTATATAGTGTTAAGGAAACATAATCAATCTTCTACATAATTAATTATCAATTATTCTACATTAGTATATGTAGTAAATAATTATCAGTTACTCTACATGATGAAATCATTATTAATTATTCTACATTCTAACACAACCCGCAGTTTTCCCTATTGAACATAGAACAACCGAAAGTGTGTGTTATTTTGCAATAAAATCATTGTTTGACGTTCTATATTTAGACATGTGACATAATCATTATACAAGTGACATAACCACTAAAAATGTGCTTCACTGAAAATGAGTACGGAAACAAATCAGGCTCAAGTTAGCTTAATATCAGGTACGGCAGCATTTATTTGATGATGTTGTGTTATAATCGAAATAATATATCCATATTGGTGATTTTATTGCTTGATAAAATCACTGTTTGTTGTTCCGATGCGCATCATTTTATCACTCGGGCTACGCCCTCGTGATATAATTCTTCGCATCCAAACTTCAACCAGTGATTTTATTGAGCGATAAAAACACAGTTTGGGATATATTATTTCTTAATTATATAATTAAATAATAATCAATTTAACTTGTTATACTAAAATGATTTAATACCACAATTTATTATACATTTTGTATATATAAACTATATGTTAAATACAAAGTTACATATTAATTGTACAGTCATATGAATGTAAAATCACACATGTATATACTTAATATAGAAAATTTGTGACCAGTCACTAAAAATAAATTCATTTTCAGTAATTTCCCCTCTGAACAAATACATTACCGTTTTAAAGAAATCACAGATCTTTATCAACAGATAATGTTGTTCAAAAGTATTTATTTTTGCACTAATACTATGTTTTTGTTTTTCCATCAAAGTAAATATCCTTTTTGTGACCCTAGGCATGGTCCTTGTATTTGATTGCTTCATCTGTGTCTTAAACAGTTACCACACAATTGTGGGTTGTAGAAATAGAGCATCTAGCCTCTGACGAGTTTCAAAACTAGGTTTCTGAAACTCTAACTTTACACTATTTCCTATCATTCATAGATAACATTACATATTTATTTCATAAAGAGGTAAACTTTATGTATATCTAAAAGGATACTGACATAAACTATTGCTATAAGTAGATGAGGCAATGTTCCAATATGCTCTCTTCTTTTACCCCGTGGTTCAGTGGCTGTCCAAAACAAAGCATCTAAAATATCATGACCAAAGTTGGATAAT